CCCCACGCGGCCCCACGCGGCCCCACACGGCCCCACAGCTGTCCCCGCAGGACGGCTCAGCTGGAAGGCCCGATGCTCAGCTGTCAAAGCCCCCCCCCCAGCTGGGGCTCCTGAAGCTTAGAAGCTGCCAGGACGCCCAGGCTTCCTCCCCCCACAGGGGAACTCCTTCTTCGTGATGACAAACTTCCTCAAGACCGAAGGCCAGCAGCAGAAGCTGTGCCCCGAGGTGAGCAGCGGGGAGGGAGGCGTGGGGGGTCAAAGGAACAGAAAGGGGAGCCCAGGATGCATTTGGACCCACAGACTCTGAGGGAGACTTGCCTCTTTGGTGGGTAGGGCTGAGCAGGGCAGGACAAGCGGTGGGACTGGGGACCACAGATGGTTATCTGCCCCCTGCGTCCAGGACGGGACTGCTCCCCAGCACTGAGGCTTCATTAGGTTATGTAACGAGTTTCACACTTCAAAAGTCCCATCAACTTCCCAGGGAAACCCACACAGCCCCGCCTCCCATGTCAGAACACCAGAACACAGAAAGGTTATGAGCCTCGTCCAGGGTCACACAGCATCCAAGGGACCAGAGTTAGAATCCTGTTGTCCCCATCCACGGCAGCTCTTACCAAGGCCCAGGTGACCTGTCTTCAGGGTAGGTCGTGGGGAACACTCAGACCCCATGACCTCAACACCCCCACACCGCCACCCCACTCTTTCCTGACTTGACCTAGCCCCCTCTTGACTTCCCCTAGCTCTGTCTAGAAAAATGGCTTCCCTATCAAGGTCTTGCTCTGTGTTTTGTTTCTTGGGCTTTCTGGGCAGGTACTGGGACTTGAACTCCAGGCCTCATGTTCTCATTTAGCTTCTTTGGTCAAGGCTGATACTTTCCCACTTGAGCCACACTTCCATGTCTGGCTTTTATGTGGCTAACTGGAGATAAGGGTCTCAGGTTTTTCTGCCAGGTTGGCTTGGAATCTGGATTCTTAGATCTCAGCCTCCTGAGTAGCTGAGATTGCAGGCATGAGCCACCAGCGCCTGGCTCAAGTTACTGAGAGTTGTAAGGAAGAGAAAATAGGTAGGTGACTTCCACCCTCTGGGCCAGGATGCATTCATCCACAGAAAGGACCAATAACACAACCCAGCTCTGAGGATGGCTGACAACTGAGCGCCTCCCAGACGTGGTGAGGTGCACACAGTCACTTTCTGTCAGTTGTCATTATAAGGGTGATGTGCAGAGGGGTGACTGTTGCATTGGTCTTTTTGGACAATGTCACCCCTTTCCTTGCTCTCTCCCCCGGTATTTTGAGTTACCAAGAGTGAAAGATGAAGAGCCAGGCACTGCCCATTCCCCACCAACCTCTATTCTCGGCCCCTGGAAACCCCTAGTCCACTTTCTGTGTGTCTGACTTGCCTGTTCTGGACACTTGCCTGCACAGCACATGGCCTTTTGTGCCCAGCTTTTTTCCCTCAGCATCAAGTTCTCAAGGTTTCCTCATGTTGTAGTTCATGTTGGTGCTTTGTTGTTCTTTGGTGGCTGGGTAATATTCCATGGGTGGAATTTGTCCCTCCCTCCTAGATGGACATGAGTCCTGTTCTCACTGTGGCCGTGTGCAGGGAGTACGGTGAAGGGCAGGCTTCGTGTAGACAAGGACATCGGCTCTCATTCCTCACTGTCCTGTCCTCCCCACAGTACCCCACCCGCAGAACGGTCTGCTCCTCTGATCGGGGCTGTAAAAAGGGATGGACAGACCCTCTAGGCAAAGGTACCGCCTGTTCTTTCCCGAGGGGATCCTCCGGGGTGGGGGTGGGGTGATCTGGCATTCTGGTGACATTCTTGGTGCCCAGTCCAGGTCCTCAGCCTCTGGCTGTCAGCTGCCTTCTTCTACCACCAAACCACAGGCGATCTGGTACCAGCCCAGGTCCTGGGCTGTGTCCCCCAGACCAGCTGCAGCCTGCAAGTGCGACTCCGGTCTCCTGCGCCAGGAGCCCCTCCAAACCTGGCAGCCTCAGGTCTAACTGGCAGAACCATTGAGCGGCCCGTCACATTATCTATGATGCATAATCTTGGGTCATCAGGGGGCTGGGGACAACGCCATGCTAGCCTGAAGATGACCTTCTCTCATGCCTTCATGAGGCATGCGACAGAAACGATAAATCAGCCCCTTCAGTGGCCAATGCACGCGGCTCGCTCTCAGAAAGGCTGAGTGGCCAGATCTGCTCATAGTCCATGTACATGTGAATGGGTGCACAGACGTCTTGGATGTGGCTGGCCCTTTAAGAGTACAGAAGGCTGCCTCCACGTCCCCATGTCCTGTGTCCATCAGGTGGCCTCAGGTGGGTCTTGCCCACTTCCAGGTGCTGAGAGGAGACACAGTGCTCTGCTCCGGGCACCCCTCCTTGTAAAGAACCCCAGGGCCCAGCCTCCACACGGCACGCGAGGCTTTCTTGTTCTTTCTAAGGGCTCTCTGTTCAGTGCTTGCCCGGGCTCTGCCTGGGCCGGTGGGGCAGGGCAGGTTCTCAGCTTGGGCTGCACCTGTGTGTGACCCCGGTCCTGCAACCCTGTCCTGTCCGCAGGAATCCAGACTGGCAAGTGCATCTCCTTCAACGCGACCCACAAGACCTGCGAGGTCTGGGCCTGGTGCCCGGCCGAGGCAGTCGAGGAGGCCCCGCGGTGAGTGGCAGCCCTGCGCCCACTGAGGGCCTGTGGCCTCCAGTGCCAGGCACCCGCGACTCTGAGAAAGCTGTGCCAGCTGCCAGCATGGCCACAGAGTTCCTGCCGACGCAGTGACATCGTCCTGTGCCAGCTGGCCGCTCCTGTGCCTCAGTGCCCAGCAGGGTTTGTTCTGATTGGTCCCCAGCGCTGCAGTGTCCAGCAGGGTTTGTTCTGATTGGTCCGGGCTGATGACAAGGAGCAGAAAAAATGGGGGAGGGTAGGAGGATCTGAGAGGAAAGGAGGAAGGAGAGAAGGGAAGGAAGGCAAATGTTCCCCAATACAACACACATGTGCTGTACAGATTTGATGATTCCTTGCAAGGCTTTTCTCTACCGTACAAGGTCAGGATGTTAAATGTCAGAACCCTCAAGCACTGGTGCATTTCAGTGGAGAACAGCTAGACAGGACCACATTCCTGACTAACACATCTCTGCTGGGTGACCTGGGGCAAGTGGCTTGACCTCTCTGAGCAGCGGCATTGTCCTCTTCTATCAAATGAGAATCAATGTGTCTACCACAGAGGGTGCCTGAGCCAGGCCCCGGTGTCTCACGCCTGTCATCCTAGCTACTCAGGAGGCTGAGATCTGAGGATCTAGGTTCGAAGCTAGCCTGGGCAGGAAAGTCCATGAGACTTTTATCTCCAATGAACCACCAGAAAACCAGAAGTGGCGTTGTGGCTCAAGCGGTAGAGCGCTCACCTTGAGCTGAAGAGCTGAGGGACAGCGCCCAGGCCCAGAGTTCAAGTACATCGACCAACGAAGAAGAAAAAAAAAAAGTCGCCCATTCCTGTGGCTGCCCAGACCAGGGAGACTCAGAATTGCTCTGCTCAGCACTGGTGGGGCAAAGAGGCTCAAAGGTCTCCGCCAGGGACAGGGTGGGGCTCAGGCTGCATTGCCCTGTGGGGCCCTCCATTGTGACCCCAGGTTCATTTCTAGGTCAGGAAGGTTTCTCAGGGGGAGGGAGGAGGCCTGGCCCAGCGGTGGGTGGCACACAGCCCACACCCCGCTAATTCTTGGATCCAGACAAGGGGCCCCTTCACGGGCCCTGGATCCTGGTTCCCGCCCTGCCAACAGCTTATTCATCAGACACACTGGGTCTGGAGCACCAGCTGCTGCAGTGCTCTTCGGGTTGTTTACTCTTGTTATAAAGCCCAGGCTGGCCCCAAACCCACATCCTCCTTGCTTAGTTTTGAGTACTGGGATTTGAGGCATGAATCACCAAGCCTGGCTTCCAAGGCTAACACTTTAAATGACTTTCTACCCTGGACTTCCGTTTCCTCATCTGTTCTATGGATTCACTTAATTCATTTAACTGCTCCGTTCACTCTGCACGTTCAGCACTGTGCAGCAGGCTTTGAAGTTTACTCCATGTGTAAGGATGCACAGGAGAGGCCGGGTTTCATGGAGGACACAAGAAGTCTGAAATACCATCCAGGCCCCAAAAGCCCTTGCAGTATAAAAACGAGAGAGAAGCTGGGCGCCGGTGGCTCACGCCTGTCATCCTAGCTACTCAGGAGGCTGAGATCTGAGGATCACGGTTCAAAGCCAGCCCGGGCAGGAAACTCTGTGAGACTCTTATCTCCAATAAACCACTAGAAAACCAGAAGTGGTACTGTAGCTCAAGTGGTAGAGCGCTTGCCTTGAGCTGGAATGCTGAGGGACAGCGCCCAGCGCCCAGGCCCAGAATTTAGGCCCCACGATCAAAAAAGAATGAGAACTCTGATCTTTAAAGTTCAGTGTGGAGCTAACCATGTTTGGAGGGCTAAGTCCAGCACTCAACAGGTATCTGTCATTAATAGGACTTTTTTTTTTCTTAATACAAGTGGCAGAAAGTTCAGCATGAAACTTTAGCTTTAAGCTAAAGTTCACTTCAGAAAAGAGGCAGGGGGTGGGGGGGTGGGGATTATTTTTTGGCTGTGTTTCTGACTCCAGTAAATGAGACAACCAGAGTTTCTGGCTTCAGGCAAGGCTTGATCCAGGCCTCAGAGTAGTGTCAGTAATATTCTTTGTCCTTTGGGGAGGCTAGTCTAGATACAATGGAGGAAGGGAAAGTGGAGATCATACTGACAAAAATGAGGGGGTGATGGGCCGATGACAATGACTGTTCACAACGGCGGCGCCCTGAGCAGGGCCAGAGCAGGTCCTCGGAGTCAGAGGGGGGCCGTGGACTGTGCTGGAAGACACCCCCCCCTTCTTGTGCCAGGCAGCAGGACACTGGCTCCCTCTATCCACAGCCATCTTTCCTAGGCGCTCGGCTGCCACCGGCTAAAAATGCTGCCTGTCTTAGTTAGTGGTGTACCCCAGTGCCTGGCACCATGCCCCGTACCAAAAATATTTGTGTTGTAGATGGGTGGGTGGGTGGATGGATGGATGAATTAGTGAGTACACTGATGGGTGGGTGGATGGATGGATGGATGGTGGATGAATTAGTGAGTGGACTGATGGGTGGGTGGATGGATGGATGGATGGTGGATGAATTAGTGAGTGGACTGATGGGTGGGTGCGTGGATGGATGGATGGTGGATGAATTAGTGAGTGGACTTATGGGTGGGTAGATGGTGGACAGGCGGATGATGGGTGGATGGCGAGTGGCCTTGCGGTGGTCTGGAACCTGAGTACCTATCCTTTAGGGAGTGTCACATGCTCCTTCAGCCCGGTGCTGAAGGCTGGGATGCAAGGTGAGACAGGCGTTGTCCTCACACTGCTGAAACTCAGCCGTACGGGGAAGCCACCCTGGGGTGGCAAGCGGACCGGTTCCAGCTCCCATGTCACTCTCCCAACCATCAGCACTCACATGGCAGGCCTCCTAGATTTTGTCCCTAGTGTGCTGGTGGTTACACACTCATCAACACACAATGGCACACACCTAGCCACGGTTCTACCAGAGTGTCAGAAGTGACACAGTGCCGGGCGCTGGTGGCTCATGCCTGTAATCCTAGCTACTCAGGAGGCTGAGATCTGAGGATCGCGGTTCAAAGCCAGCCCGGGCAGGAGAGACTGTGAGACTCCTATCTCCAATAAACCACCAGAAAAAAACGGAAGTGGCGCTGTAGCTCAAGTGGTAGAGCGCTCGCCTTGAGCTGAAGAGCTGAGGGACAGCGCCCAGGCCCAGAGTTCAAGCCCCATGACAGACCAAAAAAAAAAAAAAAAGTGACACAGTAACTGCCATAGGGTCTCAGGAAGGCAGATGCTGTTCTTGGGGAGGCTGGCGGCTTTGTGGGGATGTGTGGAAGGTTCCATCTCTCTGCACTCATTCCACAAAACCAGAAGTGTTGGCCTTGCTACCCTGTGGGACCCCTGACCCTCATTCCTTTCTCCCAGGCCTGCACTTTTGAGCAGCGCTGAAAACTTCACGGTGCTCATCAAGAACAACATAGGCTTCCCTGGCCACAACTACACCACGTGAGTGTCCAGGAAGTCCTGCTCTATCAGCTACCATGGCAATTTAACAAATGTCCTCAAACCTAAGAAGCCCCAAATGACAGCAGCTTTTTCTCTCCCCCAGTTTCCATGGGTTGGGAATCTGGACCTCAGTGGGGTGGCCGCTCGGGACCTTGTAGGCCACAGTCAAGTTCTTAGAGCCACAGTCGGGTCTAGGCTTGCCTGGGGCCAGAGCCCTCTGCCAGGCTCACCCACTGGGTACTGGGAGGAGGGCTCATCTTCACTCCACAGTGCCCTGATAACAAGGCGCTAGCTTTCCCAGGGACAAGCGATCATAAGAAAGCAGGTGGGCAGAAATGGTGGTGCTGTGTTTGGCAGCGATGCCCTATTATGTGGGAGACAGAGGACACAGCGGGGCCCGGTCCGCTTCAGTACAGAAGCCGCGTCCCGTCCCACACAGGAGGAACATCCTGCCAGATCTGAATGTCTCCTGTACCTTCCACAAGACTCAGAATCCACAGTGCCCCATTTTCCGACTGGGAGACATCCTTCGGGAGGCGGGAGAGAACTTTTCAGAGGTGGCAATTCAGGTCAGTTGGTGTCTGGATTCAGAGGGAGGGAGGTTGGGGGGGGGCGTGTCTTGCTTAGGGAGGCCAGGGAGCCTGACACGCTGGGCCTTAGAAACACGGTTTACACCATCCAGCACGTGCAGCACCCTCGTGTAACCCCAGGCCAGTGGGCGAGTCTCCCAGGATGTTGGTTTCCAGTGGTTGCGGTGACAAATGTGTGCTTCAAACAAAACGCCCTTTCCTGTTTCTGGAGGTCAGACCTAGTTTCCCAGAGTCAGAAGCAAGGTGTGAGTGGCGCCAGGCTCCCCCTGCAGGCTGCAGGGGGAAATGCACACCCTGGCCTCGGTCACCTCAGCCTGGAAGGTCTCTATGTCCTCTGTCTTGTCTTCAAAGCCAGCAGCAGAGCATTTCAATTAAGTGGTCACAATGGCTGTGTCTCCTTCTAGTTTTCTGAGACAAGCTCTCATTATGTAACCCTGGCTGGTCTCAAACTCTTCCTGTTTCGGTTCAGCAAGTGCTGGGATTACAGGTGTGCACCACTGTGCCCAGCTCTCAAGAATCTAGGGCCAAGTTCTGTCTCTCCATTATAAAAAGCTTTGTCTTTAGGGGAGGGAGTGTTTATTTATTTATTTATTTTTGGGTCCGGTCGTGGGGCCTGAACTCTGGGCCTGGGCACTGTCCCTCAGCTCTTCAGCTCAAGGCTAGCGCTCTACCACTTGAGCCACAGCGCCACTTCCAGCTTTTTTTTCTTTTTGCTTATATGGTGCTGAGGAATCGAACCCAGGGCCTCAGGCTTGCAAGGCAAGTGCTCTACCACTGAGCCACCTTCCCAGCCCAGGAGGGAGTGTTTATAAGAGGGGCTTGAAGGCCCACCTGGGTCACCCAGGATGGTCTCCCATCTCTGGACCCTCCATTTGCTCACCTCTAGAGGGAGCCTTCCCTGCGGGCATGCTGACAGACGAAAGGGAAGTGGTATTTAAAGGAGGTCCTCAATTCCAGTTAGCCTTGATTTTTCATGTGTTGAGGGGAAAGGGGTTAAGTTTACTGGAAGCTGTGTCAAGCATAGGATGGAAGAAGAGCAGGTGGGGGGAGTGAGGGAGTGAGAAGGTTTTGTAGCTGGCTGTCATGGTGACCTAACTCACATGTATGGCTCTAAAACCTTTAGACATCATTTTCTTTCTAAAAGAAACCCTTTCTAAGGCTGCAATGGCGCCACACTGTACCACCTTCAGCCTGTTTGCAGACTTCTCGTGTTGACCTTGCATGCAGGGAGGAATCATGGGCATCGAGATCTACTGGGACTGCAACCTAGACCAGTGGAGCCATCACTGCCGCCCCAAGTACAGCTTCCGCCGCCTGGACAACAAGACCACCAACGAGTCCTTGATCCCGGGCTACAACTTCAGGTACGGGGACTCCACAGGACGGGCTCAGCTGGCCTGGGAGCCTCCGGGCCGGGCTGGATGGCCTCTGTGGCAGGCAGGTTTCTCAAGGCAACAACAAGAGCTGGTGGCAATGTGAATGCGCTGTGCAACTGCTCAAAGCTCAGAGGACTAAACCCCATCGCTCTCAGCGCAGCCCTCTGCTGAGTTCTCCTCATCCGAGACCCTGTCAGTGTGTACCTGGGTACTGTGTGGGGTCTCTCTGTTCCCAGGGCACTTCAGATTCTCTGTAATGGTGACATTAATGGCCACAGCATTGCATGTGAGGGTCATAACAAGGGTCAAGTGGCCATCGGGGTTCCTAGATAAAATCAGGAGCAGGTCAACAATTTGCTCCAAACCCACAGCTACCAGCCATAATCCTAGCCCGGGCCACCTGGACCCCACCCCTTCATCCTGGGCTCCGGGTACCCACGCCTTCCTCTGTTAATGAACATTTGGGTTATTTCTGGGTTTTGTAACTACAAGTGTCCTTTCCCTTTCCCTTCCCTTCGCCGGTCCTGGAGCTTGAACTCTGGGCCTGGGTCCTGTCCCTGAGCCTCTTTATGCTCAAGGCTAGCACTCTACCACTTGAGCCTCAGCACCACTTCTGGCTTTTTCTGAGAAGTTTATTGGAGATGAATCTCATGGACTTAACTGCTCAAGCTTGCTCTTAACCATGATCCACAGATCTCAGCCTCCTGAGTAGCTAGGGATAGAGCCATGAGACTCCAGTGTCTGGTGTTTATTTGTAGTACTAGAGCTTGAACTCAGGGCCTGGGTGCTGTCCCTGAGCTTTTTCATTCAAATGCAGATGTGTGCATGAATGTTCACAGCAGCCTTATTCATAATAGCTAAAAACCAGAACCGACCCAAATGTTCAGCCTAGAGCTACATTTATGCAATAAAAGACTAGCTAGTATAGATTAAAAAAAGAAGCCAATGACTGACACTGCCACCGGAGGTCAGCAGCTCCACAGGCACCACACTGAGGGGGAAGAAGCCAGACCTGAATGGGGGTGCACTCTATGAGTCACGCTCCAGACCCAGCAAACTCATCTGTGCTGTAGATTGCCAGGCTGGGCGGGGCAGGAAGTGACAGGAAAGGAGCCATGCATGCTCAGGAAGCAACTTAGAAACCATTTTAAGATCTGGGAATCCCTTCAATCCCTTCTGTATGCATAGTCTAGTCTAGCCGCCACACGGGGGCTTGGACCGCACGTTCCCAGGCCCCCTCACCTCCCATCTACTGGATCAGACAGTTCAGGGCTGGGGCCCAGTGGGGCCTACTGCTCACTTGAGTTTGCCAACTACTGCTGGAGATGGACCTCGCGTGGTCCAAAAAGCAGACCCGGGCCCCCTAGGAGCTTGTCACAAAGCAGGGCCGCAGCCCCTCCCCACAACTCAGCAAAACACTGTATGAACATGACCTACTCATTTGAGAAGTGCTGACGGACGCAGCACCTCCTGGCAGCCCCAGGCTGCCTCCTTCCTGCCTGCTTCACCTGACTATATGTCGTCTCTACAACCAGGGGCTCAATGTGCTGAAAGCACACATTCTCGCACCTTCCCAGCCCACCCCCCACTAGCACTCTCAATGGCTCCTGAAGGGTTTACTCAAGCCATCACGCTGCTGTATATGAACTCGAGAAAGTCTATATAAAAATCTGAACTTCTGCTTTTCTCAAAAAATAATAAACCCACCCCAAAACAACTATTGGGGGAAAATGAACAGGTAAACAATCCTGGGTCGATATTCCATGGGGCAGCTGGTGGCCAGCGCTGAGATTCCACAGTCCTCTGGAAAAAGGACAAGCACTTTAGCTTGGTCTCTGTCCCCTGCTTCTAAACGCCTTTTAGCTGACCTGCACTATTCCGGTCTTTTATCTTCATGGCCCCGTTTGAGAGCCTTGACACCAAGGGTGGCGGAGGCTTTCTGTATCCTCTGTGTTGATGAAGCTGTTCCTAGGCTAAGTAACTTCTTGACGCTCCCCTCCTGCTCTGCTGAATGGACTTATGGCCATTAGTAAGAACAGAGGACCGGATGCTTGCTCCCTCAGCAGAAGTGAGCAAGGCTAAGAACCAATCAGACGACAGCACAAGTCCCTGGAGTCCCTGAATGAGTCTAAGAACATGGGCTTCCTGGTGGGATGTGAGCTTTCTCAAGACCGGGAGTGGGGGGGGGGGGGGGGGGAGGCTGTGACATTGAGATGCTTTTAGAATAAAGCATCTGTGCATCTGTTGTCTGGAAAGAAGAAATCTTTGGCCAAAAATAAATCCTGATCTGATGGGTAAGCAGACACAGTATTTTCAAATAGCCACACAAAAGAGAAGGAAATGACAGGTTATATGAGGTATGAGAAAAGGTGGTATTTTAAAAACACAGAAGTTGGAGAAGTTCACATGTCCTCACGCAGTTAACACGTTGAGTCTGTAGTTTACATTAAGCGTAAGGTAGGATAGGCCTACACAGAGTGCACCAGACATTTCTCAGTTCCAGCACAAGTGTAAGTATTAGTTTCTGGTGGCTGCTGTTTAACAACTTGCCCCAAATTTGGTGGTGTAAAACCACAGACATGTTTTTTTGCCCTTCACAGAGGGCAGAAGTATGGAATGATGTTCAGCAGGGCCATGCCTTCTCCAAAAGCTCTCGATTGTGGTGGTTCTAGGCATCCTGGACTTGTGGCTAAATCATTCCAATCTCTGCCTCCCTCTCCACAGGCCTTCTCCCTTGTCTTTTATTTCCCTTCAGTTTCCATCTTCTTTCTCTTATAACAATGCCAGTCATTGGATTCAGGACCACTCTATATCCAGGATAATCTTCATCTTGAGATCCTTAACTGCATTTTTAAATTGTTGATTCTCAAGCAAGGTCACATTTGTAGGCCCTGGGTGCTAGGTACCTAGACATAACTATATGCCCTGGGGGTCACGAGTGAACCCATTACAGTGGGCAAAAAAGCAACATTGTCAAAGAAGCAGCATTCCTCAAGTGTGGCCCACTGATAAGAGCAGAGATACAGGTCTCTGGAAACATCTCAGGCCTTCTGGAACCAGTCTGTGAGGTTTGGAGCCAGGAGCCTACCTCTTGAACACATTCTCCCAAGTGATTCTTGCCCTCAGCTGCTGCAACAAGACTCTAGAAGCAGAAACTTGAGTCCTTACGAATGTGACCATCCTGGGCAGGCCAAGCCCAGTGTGGAGGGGCCAGGCACCCATGCTTGTATACGGAAGATCCAGATCCCTCAGTGGAGCAGAAGGTAGAAGCACCAGACACAAAGGTGTTGAAACCTCTCCAGGCAAGACTGACCGCCCAGGGCAGAAAATATCTACCTGCCATCAGCCTGGAGTTTAGATTTCACAAGAACTCTCAGGTGTTCTGTTTTGGCAGAGCATGTGTCTTCTGTGTTCTTTTCTCCCAATACATATAAATAGGTTGTGAATAACTCTGAAAGAAAACAAATAAGCTTATCTTAAAGCCACCAGCGGGAGGTGATGAGGGGAGGAATGCACGCGAGTTTGGTGAGGATGTGGTTAAGACTTTTTTTTTTGGTCAGTCATGGGGCTTGAACTCTGGGCTGGGCACTGTCCCTGTGCTCTCCAGCTCAAGGCCAGCACTCTACCGCTTGAGCCACAGTGCCACTTCTGGTTTTCTAGTGGTTTACTGGAGATAAGAGTCTCACAGAGTTTCCTGCCCGGGCTGGCTTTGACCCGTGATCCTCAGATCTCAGCCTCCTGAGTAGCAAGGATTACAGGTGGAGCCACCAGCACCCAGCAAGATTTTTCTTGACCATAGTGCATGTGGAGTAGCTGAGGCTTGTGTCAGGCTGCAGTTGAGGAAGGCGGCTGAGTGACGGCACGGGTGGATCCACACCATTAAAAGGATTTATTTCATATGTATCTCAAGAGGGGAAGATCGGCATGGTCAGGAGGCAGAAACGAAGGGAGAATGAGGCCTAGAAACATCCCTGCCACCCCACTAGGAAAGGCAGGTGGGCTGTGGAGCCAGCTTGGGGCTGGCTAGTGTAAATAGGATTACTGGGGTGGTCTCCCCTTGTCTGGCTCTGGCTCTACCCGAAGGGCATATGGTGAAGATGCACTGTCCGGTGCTTAGGATCGAAGATTTGCTCTCTTTGGCTGTTTTGTTCTAGAAGCCAAGCCTATGCTTCCTCTATTAGGAACAATCATTGTTTGAAGTTATCATTTCTTTAAATTCCTCTGCTTATTGTGAATCCCATATTGGGTCAAAGTTGTTCATTGTAACCTGACACTAAAGGCAGTTTCGTGCCGCCTGTGCTGATGGCGGAGGAGGTGCCCGGGCTCTGGGTGGCCACCGGGGTCCGGTTCTTCTCTCTGGCAAGCACAGTGGGGGCAGAAGGCAGGCAGGGCAGCTACCAGCTTCGTTTCTGCTCTCTAAAATGCCAGTGCTTGCGGAGACTGTGGGATCTACAGATCTTCTTCCTCCTGCAGATTTGCCAAGTACTACAGGGAAAACAATGTGGAATATCGGACTCTGATCAAAGTCTTCGGGATCCGTTTTGACATCCTGGTTTTCGGCACTGTAAGTCTGTCCTTCCGTGCCAGCAGCTCCATCCCGGAACTGGGCCCTGACTGCTGTGTGGCTCATGGTCACTGTCTGGCCCTGTGCGACTCGCTTGTGGGATAAGCGGGGAGGAAGAAATGTCCTCGGGGGTCCTGCCTGTGAGCAGGCCATCAGAAGTCTGTGATAAAAATTTGAGAAAAAATTCTAATAGTCAACTTTAAAGTATTACTATAGAAGCTGGACACCAGTGGCTCATGCCTGTAGTCCTAGCTACTCAGGTCAGGAAAAAAAAAAGAAGTGGAATCGTGGCTCAAGTGATGAGTGCTAGGCTAGCCTTGAGGGAAAAAGCTCAAGGCCCTGAGTTCAAGCCCCACAATGGGTACAAAAGAAAAAAGAAGAAAGAAAATGGAGCTAGGGCTCAAGTGGTAGAGCACCAGCCTTGAGAAAAAAAAGCTGAGAGACAGCACCCAGGCCCTGAGTTTAAGCCCCAGTATTGGCACACACACACACACAAAGTACTCTGATAGAGAGGAAAGGTAAGGAATGGAATAGGAAAAGGAATGGAAAGGAAGGAAGGACGGAAACTCATTGCAAAATAGCTTATAACAGAACTCAATTCAAATTGGCTTAGAGAAAAAAATGTCTGTTTTTTTGTTGTTGTTGTTGCTGTTCACATAACTAAAACGTCCAGGGGTCATTGGGGGTTCAGATAAGGCTGGATCCAGATGTCCAAGCCACGTTATCAGGAACCAGTCCCCCGTCCTCACATTGGTCCCGGTTGGCCATCTCCACAGGACAGTGCACTTCTGTCATCTTGCCAGCTGAGCAGCCTCCATGTAAAGAGAATTCTCCAGAAGTTCCAGCCCAGGCCTCAGGCAGAAGCTACTGACTCTGCTTAATTCCTTCTGAGCCGCAGCCCCCCCTACACCAGTCCCATTGATCAGGGGCATGCTAAGTCCCAGCGGCTGGTCTTGAACCAACCCTGTCCTGGCCCAGAAGCCAGAAGAGAGGGCCCAGACTGAGATGAGAGACAGTTCAGGAGCAAACTGGGGTGCTGCCTATGATTGTATCACATTGGGTTGTTGTGGCCCGAGAGCCACTGTGATGGAGCCACGTGGAAGGAAGGAAAGGTCACGGAGGAGAAGAGCACGAGGTGCCATGGGGAGGAGTGAGCTTTGACCTTCCCTGGCTCTCCTCTAGTGTGTGTTCTCTGGGAACGTTCTGGAAGGCAGAGGCGGGATGCACACTGGTTGCTGTCTCTGTGACAGTAAGTGAGCATGTGGGTGTGCGGGGCTCTGCGCCCTTCTAAAACCAACAACTGCCAGTCAGAGCACAGCATTGCTCTGCTCTGCAACACTTTTCCTACTCTGTTTGCAGGGAGGGAAATTTGACATCATCCAGCTGGTGGTGTACATCGGATCCACCCTCTCCTACTTTGGTCTGGTAAGAGAATTCTCTAGCCCGTGTTTTAAGGGATGAAGTGGCAGCCAGTCCTGGTAGCACATGCCTATAATCCCAGCACCTGGGGGACAGAGGCAGGAGGATTGAGTGAGATTCAAGGCCAGCCTAGCTGCATAGTGAGAATATCTCAAACAATGAGGAAAAAGAAGCTTCTGGAGCTCAGTGCTTGTCTGTTTTCCCCAGGCCACAGTGTTCATTGACTTTCTCATCAAGACCTACTCAAACAGCCTCTGTCAGACCTGCGTTTATTCCTTTTGCAAGTGCTGCAAACCCTGCATGGTCAACGAATACTATTACAGGAAGAAGTTCGAGTTCATTGTGGAACCAAGCCCGGTAAGGCATACTGCGAGAACGGAGCTCCAAGGCTCCCCAAGATCCTGCTGCTGGGTGGGGGCAGGGAGGAATATGCCTTTAGCCTGTAGCCAATCAGACCTGGGGACCTCATCTCTCCCATGAGTCCTCTGGTCCAAAGGGAGAAGAGAAACAAAAACAGAGAAGCAAAATAGGTGGAGAAGACAAACTTTTATGCTCTAGAATGTGTCAATTTTGATATTAAAAAAAGAAGAGGATGATGCTGCTGAAGCTGGGCACTGGTGGCTCCCGCCTGTCATCCCAGCTACTCAGGAGGCTGAGATCTGAGAATCGCAGTTCAAAGCCAGCCCAGCCAAGGAAGTCCATAAGACTCTTATCTCCAATACTCAGAAAAAGCGAGAAGTGGCACTGTGGCTCAAGTGTGCAGTGCTAGCCTTGAGCACAAAGAGGCTCAGGGACAGAACCCAGGTCCTGAGTTCAAGCCCCAGGTGGGCTTTGCTTTACAGCTGCCCACATAGTGGCACCGTGAGAACCCAAGCAGGACATGTGTGTAAGACACATACTGCAGTGATCAACAGTCACCAGATGACTGTCCTCACTGGGGAGACAGCATCTACCCACATGTCCGTTGGGTAAATAGTGAAAGAAACCACAGTAAGTCCAAGGTAAGGAATGGCTGGTGCTGGGGAAACAGGTGACAGAGGTGACAACAGCAGATTTTTTTTTTTGTCGTGGGGCCCCAAATTCAGGGCCTTGGCGCTGTCCCTCAGCTCTTCAGCTCAAACCTAGCCCTCTATCACTTGAGCCACAGCACCACTTCAGCTTTTTCTGCTTATGTGGTGCTGAGGAATCGAACCCAGGGTCTCAAGCATGTAAGGCAAGCACTCTACCACTGAGCCACCTTCCCAGACCTTCAGCAGATTCTTATCTAGCACTCCTAAGTGCTTGTACATATTAACCCACAGAATCTTCATAACAACCCTACAGATGGGTGCTTACTATCTCTTTTTAGGTGTGAGGAAACTGAGGTGCAAAGAGGTTAAATGATTTGCTCCGATATATACAGCTAGTAAGTGGGAGAGCAGTAACTCTAACATAGGCAGGAAGGCCTTGTGCATAACCACCAAGTTATAGGTTCATGAGCTGAGAGGAGGAAAACAGCAAACAGAATAATATTAACATATGTCAAATAGTTTAAAAAGGGGCCCCCACAAAGCAAAACACTAGGTGCAGTTATACATGCCTGTAATCCTGGCACTCGAAGTGGCAGAAGGATTATAAATACAAGGTTAGACTGGCTATATAGCAAGATTCTGTCTCAAAAAAATAAAAGGGGAAGGAGTTCATTTTTACCACTAAAAACAGTCACTATTCCATAGCCCATTATAGAAGGAAATTTAACAAACATATAGACAATTTAAGTCAGGTGTTTGTGGCTCACACCTGTAATCCTAGCTACACAGGAGACTGAGATCTGAGGAACACAGTTTGAAGCCAGCCTGCGCAGGAAAGTCCACGAGACTCATCTCCAATTAACTTGAGCTGTGGATCAAGTGGTGGAGTGCTAGCCTTGAGCAAAATAGCTCAGAGACAGGACCCAGGCCCTGAGTTCAAGCCCCAGGACTGGCACAGAAGCCAAAACAAATCAATAAGCCGTCTAAGTTGCAGTACCCTGGCTTTCTGGAGCTACTGAATCAGGAAGTAGAATTGCGTTGGTCTAGCTTCAGCAGGGGACGGGTAAGCTGGCTGTGGACAGGCTGGGTGGGGGTGAGGGGGCTCCGGCTGGGTTTCTGATGTATCCTCGGATGTACCCTTCCCGGCGGGGTTGCCGGTGCAGCAGTTTATGCTCTGAGAAGTAACTCTTGCCTTTGGCTGGAGTTAGGAGCCTGGGCGGCAATGGACACAATGTCGCTCCCTCTCTAGACGCTGAAGTACGTGTCCTTCGTGGACGAGCCTCACATCCGAATGGTGGACCAGAAGCTGCTCGGGAAAAGCCTGCAGGACGCCAAGGGCCGGCCGGTCCCGGTGAGTACCGCGCCCCGCCTTCTCCGAGGGGAGGGAGCCGAGCCTCGCGGGCCGGGGTGGCCGCGGCTCACCGCTGCGACCCTTGGCCCTTGCAGAGACCCGAGGCGGACTTCACGGCGCTGTCCGCGCTGCCCCTCCCGGACCTGGACCCGGACTCGCAGCCCGGGCCG